CTCCAGTATGTGTTTTTTTTTCCACATATTAAATTTTGACTCCATACCGCATCATAGAAAATGGGTTTTAACCGACAACCAAACGATTCAAAATTCTCTTAATAATAAATACCTAAATTGCACACATATATATACTTAACTTCACACACTTAAAAAATCGAGCTTATTCTTATTATGCATTTTGTTAGAAATGGATGCATGTGACATATCTTAATTGCTAATTTCCAAAAGTCGACTTTTTCCTTGGAGACTTCATCTGTTGATATATAATGTAACCGTTTTTTGCATATTTAAGTATGATTATCTATTTTTCTAACAAATCCTTACCACTGGTGTTACATAATTTATGTTACACTCTCAAACGTGTCCATTGTCGTCATATAGACATATTTGGGGGATTAGACACGTTTCTGAATATTACTTTTGCATATTTAGGCATATTTATTTTTATACGTATTCACAGTGTAACAACTTTTGCATATTTATTTTTATACGTATTCACAGTGTAACACAGAAAACTAGAGAAAGGTGCTTCTGTTTGTTGGAAATATATTATGGTTTGGTCCCCCTCCCCGCCCCGCTTCCGTGCAATACATTATTTGGTGCTAACAATTCTCACAAAAGAAATTTTTATACCTTCACTTACCTAGATCGTTTTTTCTCCGCTTCAAAACCGCCACCCCGTGGCAAACATAGCCAACACCCCGCATGTGGCGTTCTACACAGTGGTATTTCGATTATTTATTATACTAAATTTCTACATGTAATCATTATCGCCCAGTCCCCTTCCGTAAAAACAAATATTAAAGTACCATCCCCATCACGTCTTATACTAATGAACTTTCTTTATCAAAACATAAACATGATACAACGTAGCAGTCATCATTTATTACAAAATATTGCTGCTCATGCAATCAATGTAACGACGAATATAACATCAATCTGTCACGCTTACAAACATAGAGCTTATAACGAAGACAAATGGTGTTTAAAATTAAGCTGTTTGTTTCGGAGAAAAATAAATTGTCGCTTTGTTTGTGACAATTGTATTAAATTGATGGGGCAAGAGTAATGCAGATTAGTGAAGCTCCTGATTAAGCATATCGCATGTTGACTTGACAAATTTAACACCAGCAATATATCTGCTGATCCTGTTTTTAGTTTTCAAATTATATTGTTTTTTGTAAACCGTAATAACAGGTTTTCCTCTAAATCAACAAGAAGTTTAAAGTACATGGTGTCTAAGACTTCTTTTAAATCAACAAGAAGTTTTAAGTACGTGGGTTCTAAGACTTCTTTTAAATCAACAAGAAGTTTAAGTACGTGGGTTTCTATTACACTTTGTAGGAGGAATGGATTTACTTTATTCTAGACGTAGTACGCATGTCCATGTGAGGAAATCAGTGTGTTAGTCTTTATGAATAAAAGTAGAGCCTGGGTTTACATCAATGAGACAGAAACCCAACGATATAAAAAAAGTTAACTTACGGTCTTAAACAAAAGACATGTTCAAACACAGTATCTCAAGCTATAAATAGCGCGGATTCTAAAACAACCATTGGAAATATAATTTGAACAGAACCCATTACAGATTTACCATTAAAAACATTTAAAAAAAACCAATAAGATATGACTTGTGACATCACCTGTTGTGGTTCCTGACATGGATCTTCAAGAGTCACATAAATATGTGGCAGGATTAAAGTAAAGTTGTGAGAAACTTGAACACAGTCAAACGTATACAAAAGGACAGCAACTGAAGATGTTACCGAGTTGAGACACCGTTAAAAACTCATCAACCTTGGGCAAAACTTTAAAGTTAAATGATAAATTATTAACATTAAATCTCACATTTTTTTTTTGGTACAAAATTCAAGGTGACTAAATGATAGGACATGTAAGAGGGCTATTCTGTTATACAATAAAAAAAAAGGGAAAATACCAATGAGACATTCAAAACTCATGCGCCGAAGAGAAACTGACAATGCCAAGACGACGAAGTGACAAACAAATCCATAAAACAATTCATGGAAAACTAAAGACTAAGCAGCACGAACCCCAGTTGCTCCGAAAGTGTGAGCAGATATTGGTTCACCAGTGGCAGCCGTCATATTGCTCATGTCACTGTAGTCTTCATAACCAGTTTAACCGGGTACAATCTCAGTTGCAGATCATATTTCGTACGTTAAGGTAGTACCAAACACCTTGAATAAATTAATTTGGCTCGTTTAATTTTCATAAAATTTTGACAAAATATTTACTTTGACCCTTTGACAAAAAGATAAAAATTCCAAAAAACTTAAAAAACACACTTTATCGGAAAAATTTCATTGGATATATAGCAGTTTGACAAACACTAATTTTGATCATTGAAACGTGATTCAAATGTTCAGCTGATTTATGTCGATCATAACTATACAGGAGTGTCATGCATGTTGGCTATCACCAAACTATGATACATTCTGTTTTGTGAGTTGATGTTATTATGCAATCGACTTAAAATATTTTTGTTTAGTGTTGTTTTGCTTTTTCGTCTTTTTTATTTTGGCAATAGTGTTGTAAAAGAAAATATTTATTGATAATCTTTATTGAGTACTTAAATGGTGAAAGTGTTGAGAAGTATGAAAATATACGGCGGAAACCATGTTGAAAAAAGAGTTTTCTCTCTGATGTGGTTTATGCCATCTGAGTGTATCTAAAACATATGACGGCCATATTTAATAGATGGAATGTGAAAGTTTTTCATCATTTACTTTGGTGTTGATGGTTAGTGTGGTCTGTTAAGTTGTCTAATATTTCTGGGGGTTACTGTTATCCTTTATGTATATTATTCAGTCTTGAATCTCGTTTTCGTTCAGAAGATTTCGAAAAAAGAGTTTATGTCCAAAGAGTATCATCAGCTCACTTGTCAGTATTTTATTCGGTACGACATGATTTATAACAAACCTTTCTAAAATTGTCCGTTTGTAAATTTTGAAATTGTAAAGAATCTATAAGGTTTCAACTCCCTCAGGCAATTTTGACCTTAGATATATTTGGCTATTTTGTTTAGGTCCTTTTTAGTATATAACTCTTCAACTATATTTCAGTTCTTATACATACCTGGCTTTACAATATTCGGCTGTGAGCGTTCCTGATGAAGGTTAATCCAGAAAAGCGCTTCAAACGCATAAAATTGATAACGTGTTATTTTCATTTTTTATGGCTGAGGTTGTAGTTTTGTTTATTTAATCGTCAGTGAATATATCATTTAGTATCGATTTTAGCCGCGTGCACCGTGTTTCATCAGTAATAAATAATGAATAATATATAAATAAGTTTTATTTATAATCGGTATGTTTTACAAAACAAGGACATTTAACCTACTAACCTACTTAGTCATACCAATACAATACATAATCTGTATTACGATTTTCTTCCTTTATGTGCATTTTAATAACAGAGTTTGCTACATCTATGTGCGTGTATCAGAGTGAAATGGTTGCACATATGCTAAAAGAAATGGAAAACTGCAACATATCTAACGCGCGAGTGTTCCTCAATATGAATACATGAACGTCATTCAAGCTTTGAGATTTGTTATATTTTTTCTCTCATTTATATTGTAGAGCATGAACATAGAACCCGGTATAAAAGGGACATAAAATGTTATAACAGGCTGATTTTAATTCACTGTTCATTACCATAAGCAGTAATCTGTAGTCGACATTGTCGTACAGTAATTTACGAAGTGGATATTATCTACGCAAATTAATTGACTGGCTTCTTTTAATCAAGGTATAGGAAATAAAACCTCGATATCAAATAGAATAATTAGGTCGTCTTATTTTCTCTTGCCAAACAAAGTCTGATGATACAATGTATTAGCAAGGTGGTCTGATGACCTACATTATAGTATTTGAAATCGTGAGTCAGTACATATTTTAGAAACCTAGTTTATATGATTTACAGCTAAAATATCGAGCACTGATAAAGAAATGATACATTGATTGTTGATTGCTAAAACGTCCAGTGACAAATATTTCATGCATATTCAGGACGAGAACAAATATAATAAGAAGGTCTTGTAATAGGGTTTGACTGGGATGATGGGCGAGAAATTTGTGTAGCCACTGAAAACTGAGGTTATATTGGATAGGGATTGAAATTTATCCTAGCAATAGGCAAGTTACGGACCCCTCAAAGAGTTTTTGCATGGTTATTAACATGCAAAGAGAGTGTGGAATTCTCTCTACATTAGGCATCGGATTTAACGTCCCATTCTAACCGGACGTGCCTCTGTATTTATCCATCCTGCACAACCAATCGGACTCCTCAATACGACAAGGGTTTAACTGCTGGTCGGAAGAAGTGTTTATTTTTCATGAATAAAGAAACAAGCGAGGTTAAGAATGTCGCCAAAGATCAAGTTGTAAAGAGTGAATAAAAATAGACGAGGGGTATGTGTCATGTCTAGTTGCTTCTAGTTTATCTAGGTCAAACGTATTCCTCTGACTTATCCCTTTTTACAAAGTTGTTGTTGTGTCATTACTGTGGTATTTAGACTTGTCTGACGTTTAAGAACGTATGTTAACCTCTAACTGACTTTTTTTTTGCTTTTTTGTCGTTTTATAGCTGTTCCATTGATGTATATCCAATATATCCTGGAATTTTTACTGGAGATGACTCAATATTTGTTTATTTGTTTAGTGAAACAAGATACCAGAACAGTATTTGAATCATAAGTCGCATTGGAAGTGACAACATCAGGGAAAATAAAAAAGGACAATCGAAACTCAACTCCACAAATCATTACACAAAAAATCCAGAAAAACTATGCAACAAAAATACCAGGAAAATGTGGTAATTTTTATATTTCTGTAGACTTCTGCTCCACTAATGGCAACCATCGTGTTGATCATGGAAAGTAACGACGATTGATGGCTGCGGGAAATATTACGTACATATTCAGGCGGGTAGTATACTAATATACCTACAGTTCAAGTAAGGTAATGCAACAATAACTTTGTATTCTTTATTGTAAGTATTTGTAATAAAAAATGTGAAAGTGTGAAAAAAGTTATAAATATATACAATTTTTTTCAAAAACATGTAAACAAAACTTGCAAATATCAAGACTTTAGCATCCCAAATATAACATTATCATCTTGTCAGTTTGTGCACACATTATCGAAAAGGGGGCAAAAAAATAATTTGCAAATGACGTGCAAATGTTTTATTACTGAAATGTACGTAACCACAAATGTAAATGCCTGACAAAATTTGTAAATGGTAAGTTGGAAATTCTTTTAGTAAGATGAAAATCCTTCCAAATGAATTGCATTCTTTTATCAAAATTTGCATATTTCATTAAAGACCTTGACCAAATGTTTTTCTGTTATTTTACAATTAAAGATATCGGAAGACACCCTATATTCGTGGAAGTATCACAAATGGACGTCTTAAATCAATGTATCAAATTAAGGATTAATATTGGAAAATGCTAATTATAGAGGAATGTAATGTGTGGGTTTTATGAGTGCTTGTTATTCATATTATCCCCTTTTATGATACAAATACTCTATGGAATGTCATTAATTTTAAAGATAACCTTTGGTACAACCTTGAAGAAAAATAGGATCTAATAAATGATCTCAACTTACATAACTGACCGGATTTTCTGGACACAAAATGTACTTTGTTTTTTTAAGGCGTTTATCCTGATATTCTTTTTTCAAATAACTTATTTGTATTAAGAAAAGAAATAATTATAGATACATTTGTAGACAGACACTCTTTTTTTTCAACACTTCGCATTACAAAAACAAAACAAAAGCGTAAAACACATATTTTGATTTCGTTACTGGCCTGTGTTTGCCATTGTTTCGATGTTAAGAAATCGAGATACAAAACATTCAGTCTGTTTTAATAGTATACCTCCTTCGTCTTCTAGAGTACATTTCATCCTCTGTGTAATTGAGATATTGCATTCAAATGAATAATGACTACGTAGAAACACAACTTGCAAAGTTAAATATGTACATAGAAGGTTTCCTTTATTCACATTTAATTAACTTGAAACTTGACGATAGTTCATGGTTAACCAGGAAAAACGATAATCATTGTTTTAATTAATGTAAATGACTGCAAATTGTAAGTTGCTTTCCGTTAAGAAGATATATATCGTTTACGACCACCAAGTTTGTTCCTCAAAATTGAAGGATGCTATATTAGATCTATACAAAATAAGCATGTTTATGATAATGTTTTAATACGTACGTTTTGATGTAAATTAAATCTTCTGAATAATTAATTTCAATACATTTAAAAACAGTTTGTCTCAAAAACTGGACATTTCAATATTTTTTAGAAGACCCCTTTACAAAAAAAAATCATCAGAGAATGCGTTCCAAGATTTAGAAATCAATGACTATTAGGTCGAGATATTACAGCTGACACTAGAAAAGAAAACTGATGAAAAGCTAAAGGTGAAAAATATTCTAAAGCCTTCTTTATATATGCCAGGTTGATACATTGACATTCGAAATCCTACATTGCATTATCATATCAAATAGGGTATGTCAAGTTGTGTATACCTTTATGTAGTATATTATCCTTAAAAATATGAATACACACAGTCATTACCATTTTCAATTTTGTAATATTGTTGTTTACTCGTTAAAACAATGATACACATGTACATTAATACTGTTGATTAAATACAATAAAATTGGCAAGTGTGAACTTCGAAAATGGCAATATGCAATTGTACAAAATATATTCAATGCAGTTTGTGCAAATGTAAAAAAGCACAAAATGGTCAGTGTTTCTAAACTTCCTGTCTACTGGTTCCACTACAAAGATTTCTCCTCTACTAGTTACATTGTAAGTCATCTATTCTAAGTAACCAGTCAAACTGTATTCTTTTTCCAACGGACAAGAAAATGGGTTGTCGGTAAGGACAAAGATTGATCTTTGTAAACAATTTTGGTGTTCGTCTATTGTCAACCCTCGTCGGAACTATAATCTTGGCACTTTTGGAAGAATTCTAAAACAATGAATACAATAAAAAAACAAAGGATATGGGGTATTCATCCATGACACAAAATCAGTACATGCACAGCAAAAAAAGCAAAGGAACAGCGCTTTTATTGCTACTCTTCTTCTCAAAGTCACAGTGTCTTCAACATAGAGCAAAAAAAAAAAAAAAAAACTCTCACCTCACTTCAAGTTTTAGACGGAATAGAATGTTATCGGTTTAAGGGATACATAGATGCGTTTAAATAAAAAGAGCGTCATGAATTCATTAATTCATAAAAAAATATATGCTTGTAATATAAATGAGATAATTATTTCTATTCCTTTATGTTTGGAATTTAAATTTCCTTTTTTTATGGCAAGACTTCTTCTACATGTAGATCCAGTTTGGTTAGAATTTTTATTTTAAGTCGAAAGATTAGTGCTGTTTTAACTGCAGTGATATTTTGGCTCTATAAGGGGTTTGGTTCTGTAGTCATATATAAGTCCGATACTTGTTTATATTTTAGCATCCCGTGAATCTTATTAGTCATTTTTTCTCTATTTTTGGCCCATTATTCTTTATTCTGTTAACCCCATCCAGACCCCCATTAATCTAACCTGAATAACCAGTTATTGAAAATGAAAATCACTTTGCCAATAAATAATATTGAATCAATTTGACAGAAAATTGATAGACTGGGTCTAAGGTCATGAGATTTTTTTCAGGAAAATAGAACGAATTAATCTATGCTATGTGGATGGGGGTGATTGCTCAAGATCGGAGATTATTTATTAGACAACTTAACATGGGATGTCTTAAGGTTATTCATTTTTCATTTTTATATATCGGAATGTTAGTAGTACAATTTCTTTAAAGATTTTTCAATCAGTATTTTTTTCAGAACGATAAACATAGATGCCAAACGAAATTAAACTTAATTAAGGCAAACAATCTTAGACGCATAGCAAAAGATTCGTGGATCATTAGTTTGGTTAAAAATTATCACAAAATACAAAATTCACTTGATGCACTTTTGAGATTGACTTATAAAAGAAGAGTTTATAGCATGTATTTTATTGTTCTGTATTGCAAAGGTTTGATGATCATTAGTTCGGCATAGCAAAATATTCGTGGATCATTAGTTCGGCATAGCAAAATATTCGTGGATCATTAGTTCGATTATGAAATGATGAAAAAAAAAAATACAAACTTACTTGGTGCACTTTTGATATTGACTTTAGAAAGAAGCAAACAGCCAGGCTTATTCCCTTAATCACGTGACGTTAATATTTAATGGGAAATATTTTTAACCGTTTTATAGATAATGGCTATATGTTGATAGAATCCTTGATTTCATCGTCAAATTTCAGTGCAGTGTTTATTTATTTCGCGGATAGCAGCTTCATTTTTACTGTTATATTGTGATTGTTTCTTAGTCTCGGAAAAGTCAAGTTTTTTCTCCTGGCAAAGCAAACGTCTGTTGTTTTCAATCGAACCAATAATTCTACTTGGTAGATTTGACATACACGATAAAAACACGATAGATAGAGTTAAAATGAAAAATACTAACAACTTGTAAAATGTATGCCATTAATACGAAAGTGTCTTACTCTTTCCGGTCGAAATAAATACATGTAGTCTTCAACGATACACAGTTTATATACTAGTATTCTATACATCTTTTTTGTTAAACTGGGACTTCGTAACGATATACATGTAAATGTTTGGCAAATTGACCTTATGGCCATTTCAAAAAGTTTTCTGTTGTGACGATGCAAATGAATTGAAATCGTTAGATTATTTCAATGGCGGATATTCTCGGAAGTCTGCAGCCTTAAGTTCAGTGGATGTCATTACTGTTGTCTGCCTTATTTGTTTTACGTTAACTTTATTGTTTTTAATAAACCTTTGCTTTTTATTTTCTTGTTTGAATTGTTTTACATTAGGTAATACTGGGGCCTTGTTTAGCTTACTATGACGGTATGGGTTTTGCTCAGAGATGAAAACAGTACGATAACCTGCATGTGTAGTTTTCTGGTCTTTGGTTGATAGTTGTCTCATTGGCAATCATACCACATCTTAGCTTTTTTTTATAATGACGAGTTTATACATTTTTCCAAGTTCTGTTACGGTATAAACATGTATTTTTAATTGTGATCTGTTGTTTCTTTCGTCAAGCATGCTTTTTTCAAGAATTTCTGTACTTCTTACATGTGAGCTATAGTTAGGAGATGGTATAAAAAAAGAAAAAAACTAAGTATTTACCTGCGTAGTTGATGAACTCTCCATCTTTTGTTTTCGCAAAGTGCAATATTTCTTCAACTTCCTCGTCGGACATTTTATCTCCTAAAGTCGTCATGCAACGCCGGAAGTCGCGAATAGATATCTTCCCAGTCCCGTCTTTATCCAGAACCTTAAACGCTTCAATGATGTCGCATTCTTCTTCTGATTTTGTATAGATCCCACCACGTTTCCGGACAAACTTTTCCACTTCCGCGAATGTCAGACGACCACTTGCTGAAACGATACAACGTTACAATGAATTCGAACTGCAGGAGCCCAGGCTCAGATTTTGTTCCAATAGATGTAAATTGGACAGAATTAGCTTAAGCAGGACATATATTCTCATTTGCATATATTTATATAAAACATTATTAATTTTTATCATACTTGTATCTCCTCAATAAAGGATTTACGGTATTAGATTTTTAGTACTTGTTTATTTATATGCATAAATTGTCCTTAATAATTGTTGATATCGACTAACACATGCGTTATTAATGATACTTATTGAATTATGTCAGTTTAACAAAGGCAATGCAAGGCAAAAAACACCAATATGAAAAATTTAATCTGGAAATATTTTGAAATCGTTTTTATTTGTAAAGAAACCGTTGTTTCCCTTATTCTTTTGAGAACTTTGGAATCTATATACGTAGTCCTGTTAAACATAAATAACCGTTCAAATTGAAAATGCAAGAAACTGGGTGACATGTACTAAATCGCGTGTTAAAATACCATTGAAAGTCTATAATCTGATCAAAGGTATTGACAATTGTATAATGATCATGATTACTTGTTCTAAATGTAGGATGGCACGAGTATTTACTGATCGTGATTGATAAAGGCTATTATGTTTCAAGTGGAGTCGAGGTCACTAGACGTATGTTGACTCATAAATGTCTTTTGTTGGGGTTGGTGTTGATGGGTTGCTTTCTTATACGTATATTCGCATCAATTTTTATTCATAAATATTGTATATTATTACTAAGAATAGAAACTCGTTCTAGATAAGTTTGGGAACGATTGTAGATGAATACACCGTACGTGTTGATATTTAAACGATTAAGGTGGTACATAACACTACAGGGAGATAACTTTGTAAAAATCAGCTGGACGTTTTAATCACTTTCTAATGTTAAGGAAATATTAAGCTTCTCAATGATCAAAATTAGTGTTTGTCAAACTGCTATATATCCAATGAAAATTTTCCGATAAAGTGTGTGGTTCAAGTTTTTTTGAAATTTGTACATTTTTGTCAAAGGGACAAAGTAAATATTTTGTCAAAATTTTATGAAAATTAAACGAGCCAAATTGATTTTAGTCTAGGTGTTTGGTACCACCTTAAGGATCAGTCAATGCTTTATTTAAGCGCATTGCATTTTCTCGGGGAAAACATCAAAACTAGAATAGCATCTGCTCTTACATAAATAGTTATGACAGTTTGGGAAAATAAACAAACTTTTATAAAATTTCACTGTAAAAGGTAAATAAGGATCAAAAAATGTTTTTTTTTTCACGTCCCATTTTTCTCGAAAAAATATGATAAAAGGTATAAGAAGTTAGCGCTTGTAAATAAATGAAAAATCTCACTCGTTCAGATATATTGCATTTCAAAATTCAAAATTTAATATTTTTGCTAATTTCAGTAAAATTCTGGACCGATGATGTGTAAACATTTGCTAATCAAGATGACTGAATAACCTCATACTATATTGTAAAGGGCCTCACGCAGATTGATACAAGTGCTTCAGTCCTTAATGTTTATACTTGCAGCATATCGAGATCTACTGATGGAAGTGAAATGACATAGTTAAAGCTATCGCCAACATCATATAATTAAAACATTCACCTGACCTAGCTTAAGTAAACAATAGAAACTGCATGGTTTAAACGCAAAATCAATAAACGCAGATATACTATAAAAATGCATTGTTAAGACCGACTAGAATCAATTACCCAGTTAAAAGTAAAGGGACATTGTTTCTGATATGCTTTTCAACAAGGTATGAAGCCTTTTTGGATCAATTTTTTACCGAAAATCGCCAAAACATTTTCATATGATGATTACGGTGAGCCAATACTTTAAAAGTACAGAAAACTGACCACACAGACTTCAATTAAGGTCAGGAAAACTCTGACAGACAATGCACTTTACTGAGAGATTGCAATATATTTAACATTGACATGATAATAATATAGTTAAAAGCCATTGATTGCTGATGAGTTTTTCATAAAGACCTTACTTCTTACTTTACTTTAAATTAATTAAAACATCAAGGTAGTTATCAGATTCTAAGTGTAATATCTAATTACAAATGAGTGCGTGTTGTACTTTAGCTATTGGTTCCCGTGGTAATATTGTTTCAGGATCTATTGTACTTAATTAGTATTGCCAATGTTCTATACAATATCAGTATTCGTGGCTCATTGGATTATCTTTAAACTAATAAGGAAGTTAGGAAATCTTTTTAAAAGTATGCAAACTAGTAAGGTTTAATTGGATGATGAATTGTCAACGGTATTTTAATACGCCGTGTAATAGTATGCTATATTTCTCCATTTATAGCTTACATGTACAAGAACTACGAATAAGACGTTATAGAAAGTTTTAACAAACATGACTGTTTGAATCTGTAATAATGTGAGTTATAAGTTGTTTGTATCTCTGTGACAGGTACATCATGATGTACAAAATGTATACCTGTTGCCTTCATAAGATAATATAAGATAATGATAATTCTATCAAAGTGTCACATATTGACCTTACAAGTAAATAAATAAGTTCAATACACAAAACAGTTAAAACAAAGATCAATACTCAGCCTATGTAGACTTACGAGACACTAAGTTTACAATAAATCACATTAAAAATATATAGTTTATAAATTATTTACAAGCACATCTTTAATAACGACATATAAAAATTTCCACATTTGACAAAAGTAAAAATCTATATAAAAATGCTTAATGTGTTTACCAGGTATACATGTAGCAACAACGAAGTTTATTTAAAACAAAATGCCCTTTTATCATGTTTTTTTTTTATATAAGACAAAAGTGCATTTTATCCATTATAAAAAAATGGACTTTTGAACAGTTTAAAAATTTCTTTTAAAACCCCCCTTTTTTTTAAATCATTGATTATTTACTGTCACATTGCACAAGGTAAAGGATTTTTTTTTTTGTTAAATTTTACTTGATGTACATCGGCCGATATTAGAGTGTTAGAATACAAAATGTCTACTTTATCAGATGCAGAAATTACGGTCAGCTTTCCAATTCTTGCGGGCATTGTTTTAATACATTATATTTTTCAACTCAAGATTACGTGAACTATCACAAATAAAGTGTTGGTACATTAAGAATATCAAGCAGTTACTATAATGCGTAAATGATCTACAATTAATCAACAGTTTCCAATATATTTTGTTTAACATTTTTGACACGTTTCTATGGTTTTCAAGGCATTATGATGTAGATGACAGAACACTGGTTTATTTTCTATTAAATATAAACACAACTAAACTTGTATATTAGACTCGGGGCAATTCAGAGCTTATCATATGGCATAGACACTTGTCTTTTGTTGAAATTTGGGTTTTATATATCTTTTCTGGGTTATTGTGCTAAACCGATGCAGGAAAAAAATCGACAGTTTAATTTATTGAAATTAGGGAACACCTGTCAATTCGAGTGACAGGGAAAGCCAATTTGGTGCTGTAATAACGATTTCTGTAAATAATCCTGCTAATTTTAGAATAACTAAAAGAAAAATTCGAAGGTCGAATAATATCCAACGAGTAACTGAAAAGCACATGAATTCACGAATACGCGTAGCTAATGAGTGAATTATTAGTTCTGTTGGTCACGATTTGATTATTTTTTTACAACTGAATCCTCAGATTAGTTTTTATTTTTATCACATTGAATTTTAAAGAAAATAAAGTAGAAAAAAAACAAGGAACTATAACTTTTTCATCGTTTTTTTCTTACTTTGTAAACGTTTTGACAACACTTATATTGACTCAGTGTTGTATAACGTCAGAGGAATGAACAGACATGATTATATATATATTTAATGACCTTCGTTACGTCCGTTTGAATATAACGTCAATGGATTAGTTAACGTTACTGAATTAGCTAACGTTACTGATTTAGTTAACGTTAATAAATAAGATAAAGTTAATGAATAAGTTAACGTCAATTATTACATTGGTAGCATTGAATTACATTGATTTCCCAGTCAAATAAAAACCGATAATTTCACATGTGAAATAAACGTGGTTATTTCACTCTCTGACGTCATACAACAATAGGCGTTGTCAAGACGTCGATAACGTCGGATCAAAACAAATTGTGAATGCGTAGAAAAAAGATATAGTTCCTTACATTTTCCACATTAATTTCATTGAAATTAGAATTCAAATATCGAAAAATATTCAACTCGTGACCGAACAACGCTGATAATTAACTCATGCGCTACGCGCATTCGTGAATTAATGTGTTGTTCGGTCACTCGTTGAATATTTTTCTCTAATTGAATTCTTCGATTAGTTATTCTATAATTAATTAGTTAACGTTAATGAATTAATGAATAAATAAACAATAATTATAGAATAACTAATCGAAGAATTCAAATAGAGAAAAATATTCAACGAGTGACCGAACAACACATTAATTCACGAATGCGCGTAGCGCATGAGTTAATTATCAGTGTTGTTCGGTCACGAGTTGAATATTTTTCGATATTTGAATTCTTTGATTAGTTATTCTTTTTATTACATTGGCAAATGGCTTTTTTTAATGAAATTAATGTAGAAAATGTAAGGAACTATATCTTTTTTCTACGCATTCACAATTTGTTTTGATCCGACGTTATCGACGTCTTGACAACGCCTATTGTTGTATGACGTCAGAGAGTGAAATAACAACGTTTATCATATACTTGTATAAAATATTACTAAAATTTTACAGTTCAATAACATTTAAAAATATTAAAAGGCTATGAAAGGATTACTAGGTTTATTTATCAGATTCCTAAGAATTTCCTCAGCGGGCTGATAAAGGAACCTTTATTGACTGCTTCCGGAATGTTATCACATGCCTTTCCGTTAATTTCCGTGACGTTTATCACATGCAACGTCGTGCATTTCCGGAAATTTGTTCGAAAACGACAACACAGTGCGGAAAACCGCAAGTGATTTAAGACTTTCCACAAAATAGTTGAGGAGCAAATTTCAAACTAAGAACAAGTTAATTGTTGTGACAAGATAAATAAAATGCTTGTAATACCAATAAAAACAATAAAAGTTAAGACATTTGTATTTGGTTGTCTGTAAATTATTATCTAAAAATTCATGGAAAGACAAAATTTTAATTAATAGTTCTTGTCTGTATTTCTTCTGTTGAAGTATATGATAAAAAGATAATTACATGTCATTTATCATATCAGACCCTTTATCGGCCCTCGTTCATGATATCAGCCCTCGAGCCTGCGGCTCTTGGGCTGATATCATGACCTAGGGCCGATAAAGGGTCTGAAATGAAAAATGCCATGTAATAATCTATACTTATTTCACATGTGAAATTATCGGTTTTTATTTGACTGGGAAATCAATGTAATTCAATGCTACCAATGTAATAATGAATAAAATCACGTCAATGATTTATTTAGCGTTAATGATTTAGTTAATGTCAATGATTTAGTTAACGTTAATGATTTAGTTAACGTCAATGATTTAGTTAAGTTAGTACATAACACTACAGGGAGATAACCCTGTGAAAATCAGCTGAACGTTATAATCACGTTCTATTGTTAAGGAAACATTAAGCTTCTCAATGATCAAAATTAGTGTTTGTCAAACTACTATATATCCAATGAAATTTTTCCGATAAAGTGTGTGGTTCAAGTTTTTTGAAATTTTTATATTGTTATATATGTGTCAAAGTGTCAAATTAGTTTTGTCAAAATTTTATGAAAATTAAACGAGCCAAATTGATTTTAATCAAGATGTTTGGTACCACCTTACAGTTAATGAATAAGCTACAGTTAATGAATTAGTTAACGTCAATGATTTAGTTAAAGTAAATGATTTAGTTAACGTCAATGATTTAGTTAGTGTTAACAGCCATAGGCTTTTTCATTTTTTAAGACTGTTGCAAGTTTTTCTTATTTGTCTTTATTTATATTTACCTGCGACGTCTAATTCTTGTCTCGCTTCTTCCAGATCTCTTTCCGATGGATTCCAGCCAAGACAGCGTAGAAATGAACCAAGGTCTCGTGCTGACATCTTCCCTTTCCTTGAAACGAACATGCCAAAAGCCTCCTTCAGATCTGCCAAAATATATTATGTATCATGTTTGTTTCATTTTTGCCAAAGAATACTATTTTGTTTCATTATGATCCGCTAACCATATTACCTTGACATTTATATCTCAGGCCTGCCAAAACAATGTCTTTTATGTTTCGTATCCGCCCAAAAATGTTTTCCATATTGACAAATTTTTAAAGTCGATCTCAGTTCTTTCTTATACTAAAATGCATTAATATTTGTTTCCCACACTCATTGTCTACAATGATTATAATTTGAACAGATTTATTGTAACAGTTATTATTTTGCAAACATCTTAGGTCTATATGTCATTGGTGGTATTATCAGCTCTTCAACGTTTGAATTAGGTTACGGATTTTCAAATATTATGGCCTCGAGCATCACTGAAGAGACATTAGTTGTCGAAATGCGCATCCGGCGCAGTGAAATTGGTTATGTTTATGTTGTTACTCTTAAGTTAAACATAAGTTTGATAAAACAAAAAAAAACTGTCTTTAATATGTTTTGGAGTTTAGTGTGACGTCCATTTTCACTGAACTAGTACACAATTTTATTTAGGGGCCAGCTGAGGACCACCTCCGGGTGCGATATTTTCTCCCATTGGTGGCCTTCGGCTGTTGTCTGCTCTTTGGTCGGGTTGTTGTCTCTTTGACATATTCCCCATTTCCATTCTCAATTTTATTTTATTGATTAAACCAATGATTGTTATTTTTGTAGGACTACGATACATGCTGCAGTCTTATACACTGATACAAAGTTTATAAGGACATAATAAGACATTTAAGGAACTTCAAATTTGGTACATGAGAAAAATGTAAATAGAATCTAACCCATTATAATGTCCTCATTCGCAGTTTCTTTCCAAAGAGGTCATTTATAAAAAACTTTAAAGTAATGAGTATATTTGCGATTAGAATATCAAACAAAATATCTTTGAAGACCAACTTGAATCAACTGGCGTCAAAATTTTGACTTGTACAAAATATGTACACATTATAAATTTGTATAAAGTTACAACTTCTACACACCGTTTATGTGATGTTAATATAATTTCCATTTTTAATGGACTAGGTTAGGAATTATGCTGTCACATTTTTGTTAATATCACATTGTGAAAGTTCCAATTATTATTTAATTTCCAATTTAATTGATAAAATTGTAAAAAAGATAACCGTACTATCAATGCATGCGGTACTTGGACGTTTAAATATAAATAAATGTGAAATCATCTTTAGTTTTACTTGATCTGAAATCTTCATGATTCAACTTTTGGTATCCCAAGAATACTAACATATAGAATGTACATATATCATTCGGTATACAAAATTACTTATTCTATACTCCTTGGGGTTTACAAATGTATCTTTGAATGTCTAGGAGTTTGAAATTTCTCCAAGCATAGACACTCATTTATCACTTTCTGTGATGAAACGTCTAATTTCTGGGAGTAAAACAGACGTAAATAAAGCGGATGAAACTCAATAATTTGATTTTCTATTGTAGAAAATGTACATAAAATTTGTCCTGGGAATTGTTATGTTAGATTAACGATTGAAACCATTCATTTATACCTATTGAAAAAATATCCTTTGAGATTTGTAATCCTATTGAGAAGATTTATTTTTCCTAATTTAATAAGAAGATTTTAAGTCACGTCTTTCACGCAATGAATAAGTAATATCAAAAATGACTACAAAGTTACAAATAAAGATGAATACTATTAGGTAATTGGAAGTAAGACATTAAAGGAGTGGTTGTCGGATGTAAGTAGTACGAGCAGTTAGACAAAACTTCTCGTCTTATCACCGCGAGCCTTAATTGTTTGTTACTGAATTTTGTATATCTTTATAGTCAAGAGAATAATTTTTATCTGCAATAGATCTCTAAAACAATTACCAGCAATATAAAACTTCGTTTATTTATACAATGCAAACGATTTGCGAAAATTAACTGCACTAAAATGTAGTTAAGATTATGTTTTTTTTATATCTGTTTCTATGAATAAATTTAAAGGAGAAGCTGCGCATACGTCAAGTAATCAGCAGTTCACCGACACAAATAACCAAAAAGACAATGAGAGCAACACAAGTTTTCAACACTAAACACTCCGGCTTTCTGCACCAATAAAAACTCACTGCCACGAAATAGCCAATAGCGAGTGCAAAACGTGGCGTTAATCACCAACAGCTAATCAACCAATATAGAGTCTACATCAGCACCGCTACCCTTTACATCTTCAGAGCTGCCGGTTACATCTTCAGGGTTTGACATAACATCTTCGGCGCAAACCTTTTATCTCGAGCGCCATGCTTTACAAACCACAACTTTTATCTGTGTGTGACCAACAGATCTCCTTAGTATTGAATGCTACATTGTAAAAACTAATCATTTTCTACGCAAGTAGTCAAATTTAGCTCGTATCATCGTAAGAGAGCGTTTGATTACTTATATAGAAAAAATACTGATTCATGGACAACAATATTGCCGTTGTCTTTCTGTATTGAATTGTTTTCTATTTTATTGTCGTGTTGATCTATTATATAGTTGTTGCATCTTGTCCGTTTGTCTTAAGTTGAAACTTGTCCAATTGTCAATCATATCATATCTCTTTATTTTATAAAACCGTTTTTATATTCATTTTAGTACTGCATACATTAAAAATGCAATGTTAAACTGAGTCAATGTATGAATCCTGTTTTGAACTAATGACCTTCGACAAAGCAAGCAAGTGCCAGGTGACATGTGCATGAATCTTGAAGTTATAAAGTTTGGGGTTTAGTGGTTTTTTAAGATAAGTAAAAGTTTACTCCAGTTTTATAGTAAACACTTGATGTGGTCATTTTATGATAGACTAACCTTGTTTCTGATCTTCGTTCAATTCTTCTATGTCATCAAGGCTCAGAGATCGTTTTGACTACAAATAAAGAAATATATCTATGATTGTCTCCTTACTTCTTACCACTAAATAGTTATTATCACTAGATTCGTATTATTACCATAAACAACACGACGGAGTAATACTGCAGCAAGAAATGCATATATTTTATATGGTACGTTATTGTTCGTTATATTATCAGGCTGGAACGGTGATTGGACGGACTGGAAGTTCGGAAAGTCGTCTGAAGCGAAGTTTTCGTGTGATAATTCAAGGCGATTAATTATTGTTCTTGAGCGTTATGAGTTAAGTGAAACAATTATTAACACTCTAAATCTGTTATTTGTTGTACATATTCATATCCAATTACCAAATTGAATGTAAATAATAAATTGATTGATTCGTTTACTCCTTCACGAATTGTGAGTTACATGTATATAATAGTTCCAGAACACCTTAGTAAATCCAAGTATTTGTATAGTCTAACTATACAAATCCTTGGTAAATCCTCCCTGGATTTAGGTGGAGTTTTTTTCTTCTGTATAGTGTATGGAGGATTGTTCAAAATTGTTTTTATTAATATTTATCTTTTTTCTATGGTATTGTGTGTCCTTCTTTAGTTTGTGATTTTCATTGTAACCTGAGAGTATTTTTTTTTCTTGTGCTGACAAAATCATTTATTCAGTGAGGAAATTTGTAAAAAGTTGGTAATTTCTGGGTATCGAAATTTTTTGCTTGATTTTTTGAAAAAATTAAAAAAAAAATTCCATCGGATTTTGAATTTTTTACTTTACTTTTGCCATGAAAGAACAAACGAACAAAAAAAACGTAAATTTTGGTGCTGCGAAGACTTTGACCTAGCAGAATGAATACTCAGTTAAGTTGTTCATTATCATTATAATCGTGATAGACGTGTAGATAAATAGTTTCTCCATTAAAAGTTTATTTAAAGACTTTGTCCCGAGAAAGAAATTACAGTGTTTACGACAGTCTCCCAATTACGAGAATTCATTCGGGATTACGGCATTGATTAAAGTCGTAATATCCTTTGACAATTGATGGACAAGTTACAGAATGAAAGTTGTAGCGTAATCACATAGACATTTTACACCTGGTCTCTGGCTATTTAAAGTGACAATTTACAACTTTGGAAGCAAATTAACTTAAAAGCTGACGTCATTACAGCACATTTGATATAATTTGTTTTCAGTTTTCATAATACATAGTGTCAGTTTCAGTCTAAGAATGGATCAATTAAGGCGATAAATTTCTTTTACTATTCATAATATATGATGCTCCGAGAGTATTGAATATGTGTTAAACATGAATGAATAGTAACATAGGTTCTTGGGGACAGGACAATTTTTTTTTTTGCCCTCTCTTTTTCTAAAATCCGTTATTTTTTTTATTTTCTTTTGATATCAATTATTTTCGCGTTTTCCTGTGATAAATTAACACAAATATACTAGAAATAACATGTATTTACTATTTCCTATCAATTTCAAGTTTTCTTTCCATAGCGGTTACTGCTAATATATATAGAAAGCTATACACACGTACAATGTATAACAAAATGTCCTGTTCCCAAGTACCTATGACTAGTAATGGATAAATAACTTGTTTTAGCTCCTGAAAAATATTTTTTTCGATCACCATCAAACAAAAAATTAAGAAAATGAAGGACTAACGAATAATTTAAGTTGACTTTCAATATCAATTTACAAGTATCGGGTACAATGTAACAGTTTGCCAATATATAGGCTATGCCTTCACAGTGCCATTAGAATTGCAATCTACTGTATTTGAAAATATCAATATTTGTCTCGAGCATAATATGCATAAAATTAACAGGTCAAGTTATGTAAATTGCATATTTGAGAAAATTTTCCAACGTAGTTAACAACAACATTTTCCAAAAGATCAAAAAAGTGAAAAGTATATTTTAACAAATCGCATTTGACTAACAGGTCGAACAATTGATGTTCTGAAACCTTGCTGACTGCCATTGACGAATGCCAAATAAATTGATCACGAGATGAAACATGGATCTTATATATATGTATATCTTATATATCATATATATTTGCATGAGTTCGAATCCCGGCCAGGGAAGAAAAAAAAATGTGCTTCCGCAAATTTACAGATCTAACATTGTTATTTAGACGAATTATATATATCACACATATATATATGTATGTACTGATTCAAACACTGAAAATGAAAATCAGATTTGACCATTCTAAAATAAAGATATATTATACTTAAGATAAATCTTCAAAAATCGAAGGGGCCTTGGTGGCCGAGTGGTCTAAGTAGTTACTACTGTAATCACCAGCCAGTCAATACTGAGGTTGTGAGTTCGAACCCCGCTCGTGCGGGTGCACTCGACTCCATTCTTAATTGACAAGGATTGTCATTTTTCCTATCGAAGGTCGGTGGTTTTCTCCGGGCACTCCGGCTTCCTCCACTAATAAAAACTGGCCGCCACGAAATAGCCCAAAAGCGTTGCTTAAAAGTGGCGCTCAAACACCAAAAATCAAAAATCAATTCAAAATCGAAAGTTAAACCTAGTACTTAACAATGTCAAAAAATGTGTTATTTTATATACATTGCATTTTTTCTAGATTTGACTGTATTTGCTTGATAATCTTTCCTTTCAATACCCAATGACATATTTATCCAATAATCGCTTTGTTTTCAGGAAAACAAATAAAAAACTTAAATCGTGACTTTGCATTTTCAAAGAACGTTAATTAAGTAGAACAAAATGACAGATTTGATGACGCAGGAAAATTTAATTATTAACACTGTTCTAAGCTGATCAATGATTTTCTAGGACGAATACATTTCTTTATGTGTCGCTTCAATAGAGACGGAACCAATTTCATTCACATGGTCTTCGTGATACAGCTTTCATATAAAAAACCATTGGGCATAACATTGTAATTAAATCTGTATATTAGTTTATATAATTATATACAGTGACAATTTATATCCTTCTTTATTATTTCAATTAGAAAGAAGATGTGTAATATAAATAATCTTTGCGTTCAACTTGGAACATAATATATTGTTATTAGATATATAATAAGAAGATGTGGTATGAGTGCCAATGAGACAACTCTCCATCCAAGTCACAATTTGTAAATGTAAACCATTATAGGTCAAAGTACGGCCTTCAACACGGAGCCTTAGTACACTATTCCCAGGTTTAGGCTAAATACAATCAAAACTGATGCGTGTCTAAAAAAGTAGTTTATTATCTTTTTTTTTTATATTATAGAAAATGCCCTTTTTAAATGAATCTTGAAAAACTCAACATTTACGTTTATTGAAGATCTGACTAAGCACATGATTTCCTAGAGGAGAAAACAACATTCTGGTAGGCTTACATGTATATATATATTTCCAGGTTAAACGTTGTCTTCCTTCCTTTATTATACTTCTGGTCAAAATGTCAGATTTTGATTGGTTAATACGAGGGAGACAATTTACTTTATTATACTTCACGTAAAAATGCAATATTTTGATTGGCTTATACGAGGGTGTTACATGTGTAATTTACTCTATTCTATGGTAAATACTCTATTACCCTTCACGGAGACGCTTGATCAAGTGTGCGCTTTATTAAATACGACTCTATCCTATGGCAAATACTCTAATACCCTACACGGAGACGCTTGATCAAGTGTGCGCTTTATTAAATACGGATGGTTGTTCTGTACAAGACGTCATAGTTTATTACTTTGAATTTAATATTTACTCGACATTAATAACAGAACATTCAGTATAATAAATTAAATAACGCATATCTTCGCCTCAGTTGACAATGTTTTCTCGGGGTAATAATCTGCTCTATCACCCTCTCAGCTATGTGTTATTTATATACTACTCCATAGCAAATACTCTAGTGCCCTTCACGGAGACGCTTGCTCAATTGTGCGCTTTAATAAATACGGATGATTGTTATATATAAGACGATATAGTTTATTATTTTGCATTTGAAATTTAAAGACAGAACATTCAGTACTCGGAGACGATAATAATAAATTAAATAACACATATCTAAGAGGGTGATAGAGCAGATTGTTTCCCCTCGAAAAGACATTGTCAACCTTGGCTTCGCCTCAGTTGACAATGTTTTCTCGGGGTAACAATCTGCTCTATCACCCTCTCAGCTATGTGTTATTTATATAATATCTCCTACATTTTTCTGCCGCCTTATATATTCTTGTACTTTTAGCGTTTCTAGTTTTTTTCCGATTTCGCCTGTTTATGCCATAATCCACAGAAGAGATTCAAAACAGTAGGTTTTATGAATAAAAAAGGAGGATTCAATTTTACCTGTGAGACATCTCCTTAAAACACACAAATTTAAACAAACAAAAAATAGAAAGAACAACTAATGAAGGTAAGCGAACAGTTTTCAACACCATAGTGTCTACACGAAACTAAATGTCAAGCTCAGTCCATAAATGTGTGTTATAAAGTTTACAGAGACTGCAATAATCTGACTAGGTTGATTGATTGTTGGTTCCTTAACGTCCAGTGGCAAATATTTCGTTAAACAACAAACAATCAATCAATCTAGTCAGATTAATGTAGTCTCTGATAAATATATAACACACATTTATTGACTAGAGGAGGTCCTGGAAGCGTAATGAATTCATTGAGTCATGCTTTCTTACTAGACATTTTCGAAAAGTCATCTACACGGACACTTATACCGACACCGATCCCTACACTGACTAAAAAAATAGAGGGACCGTATCAAAATGTCAAAATACACTAAATGAATTTAATTCAACATTTTATAACTATATTAACGAGGTAAATTTTATTTAAAAAAAACGCATATATTTTTAATATGGCGACCCTGCAAATAGGATGGATATCCCATAGAAGAAAAAGACTCCCCTCGTAAAACTTTGTTTGAAACAGCAGAGATAGAAAAAAATATAAATTCATTATTCGTTAGTTGGGTTTTTATAATTTTTAATTCAAAATCTGAGCTAGAAACACAAAGTCCTTTTTGAATTCTTTTAGTGATGATTTGTGATATTCCAACTGTTTTCTTCAAATTGTCGAATTATACTGATTGATCTTTTTCAAGCAGTAAATTACATTTCATGTAGTTTTTGGGGTAAAATAACCAAAATGGGTATTCATCTTATCAAAAAAGAAAATCGGGTACACCTTTTTACGTTCAAGCGTGTTTGAGCTGACTGTTTTGTCCTGAATACGTATATAAAGTAAAAATATTGATACAAAAGTCTCGCTTCAGATCCATTAATTTTTTTTTTATTTAGGCTATATTTTGATATAATAACATTACACATTCACAGTACCAAAACAGGAAATATATGGGTCAAGTGAATTACCTTCCTAATGTGTCATAACAACAGAGTAGGTGTGTTTGAATAATATAAGAAAAGCTTTGTACTATTTCAAATGTTTAAACTGGAAGTGTATTTCTTAGTTGTATTTTGTTTTACTTTCGTTCACTCATTTTTAGTGAAAAATTTAGGCATATTAATTATTTTATTTATGAAATGTATAAAAAAAAGTGGGACAAATGTTGTTCACTAACTCCTCCTTGGATTTATACAAAAAGTCCATGACTTTATAAGTGGATCTTAAAAATGCATATCTGAAAGAAAAGAAAAATGTGTGTGTGTAATCTAGGTTAATTATTCTTCAACCTCTGCAAATGTTTAGTCTGCCCTTCCACATAATACTTAATTAGAAATTTTTAATGTTTTTATTAACTTTCAAAATGTTTCCGTGACAACCAACCAGAAAATAGTTTTTAGTTGACAAAAGGCCTAAAAGTACATGAGATGCTTTATAGCTAGTAGATACATTTGTTTAAAAAAAACACAACTGTCATGTAAGGATCGTAATTATGCCAAGTGGATAAATTTATCGGTTTTCAAGAGCTAAGTTGACAGCGCGGGTCATCCCTACAATGGCTTCCATTTTCACGATTGAAAAAATTAATCGGCGTTATTGAGAGATGATTTTGACGAAGTAGAATCCTGACTTTCTGTGGAAAGTTCTACTAATTTACGCAAAGCCAAGCCCCCTTTTTAAAAATTATAATATGAAGATCGGTCAATTCTCAGCTTCAAACTAGAGCCAATAAATCAACAAATCATTGAAAATATTTTTTTATACAATATTTAAAGTGTAAATTATATATATATTTTTTTATAAATACCTGTGCTCATTGTACATCTTGAGATGACCCCACCTAAAAAGGTTACCTGTCGTCTTAGGCATAGGTGTAAGCGTCAGTGTCGATAAGTTTTCGAAAATGTCTAATAAGCGGGTTAGTTACTATGAGCTTGTTGTCAGTTACTTTTGTTATTATTTATAGTACGATATTCTGTGATATTGTCTCCTTCTGATGATGTAGCTTTGGCAGTCTAAGCTTTGTTTATTATTACTATTCTGTCTAGTCAGTCTGTTTTTGTTGGGTTTAGTGTTGCTCAATATTGGGTTTTCTATTTAATGTTGTTAAGAATATTGTTTGTCTTCACGTCGTATAATGTTTTTTAGTCAAGGTATTTTCGGGTTTTCTTCGACTCGCAATTCTTATTGTCTATATGGTATCGTCTCCTTTTTTCTTGGGGGGGGGGGGGGGGGGGGGGGGGGGGGGGGGGGGGAGGCGGGAGTGGTAAAACTTTAAAAAATTAAACTAGACGTCAGCATTACTTGAATTTTTCGATGCCTGTTAAAGTAAAAGTGTATACCAATTTTTAGACCCAAATGCAAGTGGTAAAAGTGGTTTATCGGCATACGTACATTGTAGTTTTAAACTTCATCTGATTTTAAAATTTGTAAATGCCATTTGAACAAATATAACACCCCAACAAGACTCGTATTTTGTATACTTCATCGCCACCCTCTTCCCTCTCCATGAAATAAACCATTTTTAAAAGCTTCTTTTAAAAGTAAAAAAAAAAAAAAAAAAAAAAAAAACAGCAAAAAAAAAATTAGGCTTGTATATCTGTTTTATGTTGTGCTTTTCATGTTTTTATATTTGCTTATGTAAGTAAACCATTATTTTCTTAAAATACGACTGAAAAATCATTTATAAAGATCGTTATTATTTTTGTTTAGTGAAAGTATTGTTTTTGAATGGAAATAGAAATTTAATATGTGATATAAAACTTAAAGAAAATAGTATGTTGCTTAATACGTACTACAAGCATCCTACGTGTGAACCCTCCACGTTTGAATATCAATAGTTTCAGAAATAATTGATAACCGTAATTGATTTTCAAAATGTAACTTTTACAATTGTCGTGTATAACTTTTTCCTCTATGAATAATTGATCATACGTATTTCCTTTTCATCAATGAATATGCATTTATACTTAAAATGTTTTTGTATAAACGATTCAATAACAACAAACGATAATAAGCACACTTGAACATGTGATTCAAACTAAACATTTTGAAATGTCTATAATTGTTATTAATTGGAATATCAAAAGTTTTGTCGACATATTGGTTAGATGGATTTTTTTGTCTTTTGTTCTTTAAACCAGATTTAGATGATATAAGAAAACTGTAAATAATAATCTATTAATAATTTTGTTAAGGGGGTTTAGGAGACATCAGTAAACAAGGGGGTCCATTATTCGGTATGCGAATCAACAAAATCGGTTCTTAACTGTCCTCCGTGATTGATGGCCATGGAACTAGATTTGAGGTATTGACCAGTAGAATAAAATTCACACTGGTCCTTGGACACATGAACCCATATATGAAGAATACAAATTACCAAAGCGAAGGAGCATGTTCATATGAAATCCCAAGTCAAGAACGTATTAAGATGTTGGATTTACAATTTCTTTCTGTTTGTTTGGTACTGAAACCAAATGCTTAAAAGTGTCATAAAAATTAGTATACTTATGATTAAAACATTTATACAACTTAATAATCAAAGGTTTTAGCAAACGTATTTCTTTAAAGATAATTTGTATACAATTAAGGTAAAAACAGTTTTATTAAGGATGCTTTTGTTTGCTTTAATTATAAGTCTGAATAAACTCATCATAGATACCAGGATTGAAATTTTGTATTTGCGCCAGACGCGCGTTTCGTCTACAAAAGACTCATCAGTGACGCTCGAATCAAAAAAAGTTAAAGAGGCCAAATAAAGTACGAAGTTGAAGAGCATTGAGGACCAAAAATTCCTAAAAGTTTTGCCAAATACAGCTAAGCCCTTGAAGCCCTTGCAAACAATCCATAGCTATAGGCAGCAGAAATAAGTGTGACTTTGACGAATGCAGGGACTCAGACTATCAGAATATTAAAAAAAAATAATATCCATTACTTAAGACTATACATACATGTTGACCTGTAGATGTGATTTGGTTGTATGTGTACCTGGGTTGATGTCTTATTGACGTAAACGTATACCCCACATATCTTTTTATTCATATAACGTATCATGTTTTTTATTGAATTTCTAAATTTCTAAACCGAAACGTTTGGAGAAAAGGCATAGTTTTGAAATCAACGAAAAGAAAGAAATTGTCCATTTGTCACCCCGTATTTACATATTAACATATACACGAAATATATCAATATATAAAATGTATACAAAATTAAAATTGGATGAGAATGCTTATATTTCTAGAGACTGAAATATCCAGGAGCAATGTGCACATGTTATATATAAAAATTAGATGTGATATGATTGCAATGAAACAACTCTCCACCAGAGACCAAATGACATATAATAGGTCACCGTACGGCCTTCAACACAGAGCAAACTAGACCCGCACCGCATAGTAAGCTATAAAATCATCTTACATATGGAACACGAGACAAAACAGTATTTAAAATTAAACACGAGACAACTATAATCGTTACCTTGACAACTTGATGCTGCACACTGCATGGAGCTGAGGCACGTCTTGGCAATCGAATATGCTTCATCTTTAAATGGACGGCTTTCCAAAATATACCAGACTTAATGTGTGGATCTATTTTTATTGTTTCTTTAGTCACATGGAACGAATCGAAATCTTCTCACAAAAGATCGACAGAAAATAAGTATGTTATTATACTGGTGGTGCAAAATGCTGTACTTTTTGAAAGCAACTATATTTGTCGATTTGCAGTTTGTCAGTTCGATGTCCTTGAAAGCGCGCACTTTTCTCTAATCTAACACTAAAAAAATAAGTACGTTAACCTTGTACTTTTTCTGGTCTATAGGTGGTTTCCTTTCCCTCTATCGATAAAACGTAAGTATTTTCTTTGTTTGCTCAGCAAATATTAAATACAATGACACTTTTTAGCAACAGATGGTGGCTTTTTGTTTTATTGTATATAACTTTTAACGAGGATAGCAATTTTCCTTCATCATATTTTGGTAAAGTATTTGTCCGAAGTTTGAACTTGTGAATAATTAGATAATCAAAAGTATGTGACGGGATAATACTATAACTGTACTTGAACTATTAATGACACTTCTGGAACGGTGTGCTGTCTACGTCATTTTTATTCCTTTTAATCAAATCGTCATCCGCTCTTCAATATGGAGGAAATAAAGATATATATTTGGCAATCTAAAAGACATTTACTGTACAAAAGCCTCTTCTTTAATGTTGTAAAGCTGAATGAATTCTACAATAAAACAATTTCTGTCCGACAAAGTAAATTAGTCACCAGCATAACACTCCTTCAAAGCTTGTATCAAGATTTTTTATCCAATGAAAATTAATGATCTGGAATTAATCAGGAATTTCACTTTAAAATAACTTATTTTTGTTCCGTAATTTGTTTTTGAATTGATACATTTTACTATATAACATTCGACTTGACTCTGATTGGTCAGTTGTGTGCACGTTGTAAACTTGACGGTATACGGAAGTTAAAAATCTGCTGTTCCAATAAGTAATTTTTCCGATTGTTTCCTTAATTGTTCTCCTGTTGAGTTTAAATGTTGTGAATGATGAAGCAGATGATAGAATTAGTTTTTACATACAAACAGAAATCGATTACACCACATGACAGCACAAGCAATGCGATATTCCAATACCTTATAAGAAATAAACATCAACACTGCTGTAGCAAGATAGAGACATTTAGTGGTGATTAACTATACTACAAAAGGATGCTTTGTACCCAGTCTCTTAATTGATATATAACGTTCGTTAGTCAAACACGAAAACGTACGGCGATAAAACATTTGATGACATTGAATCGTAATATTGAAAAATTACCAATTAAGATTAATGAGTACGAGAGAATAAATAAGTAGACAAGCATGTTTATTGTAATTAAGAATACTGTAAGATAGTACTTTATTTTACCAAACTGAAGAAAATTGTATAGGTTTTTGCGCAATACTTAAAATTTTTTTCCTAAATATCTGTTAATATAGGTTTCTCAAGATACGACATAACATACACTTCATTTACGGGTCAGAGTTTAACTTAACTGTCACACGTTTGTATGGTGCATTTGAATGGAGTTGTAATGTTCGATGGGCCCTTTTTATGCTTATAGTTGTTTTACTTTTGACCACCCCTCTTCCCCCCGAAAACCATAATTATAATACGTTCCTCTATAAACCCGTTATTTGTATTGTTATAAAAAAAAACTCCAGATGGTTGCAAAAGAAAAACACCAGCAAACTGACCTTGCACGGTAACCATATATAAAAGCTTACTAATTTTTAATAATAATTGTTTAATTTTATGATATTAAAGGGAAATAGGCCGGAATGTCCAAGATGAACCATTATAATAAATAAGGTTCTGTGTCATCCAGGGATAAACTCTCAGATTATAACGAGTAGAAAATATGAAATTGGGATATTGACACATGGTTATTATGGTATGTGTATAATTTTGGACTATGCTGGATAGTTGCCTCATCGGCATTTATAACAAATTTGCTTATTCTCGTTTCGTATGGTACATGCAGTTATGAAGACATTATTGCTGATATGGGGTCCATTGTCCTATGCGGGTTGTAGACATACTCCACCAGGCCCTGTTTGATTGGGGCATAATTTACCGACGCTTTTTGGTGTTACTCTGTGTGTATTATGGATTTATTATAGGGTAAGAACGGCAGGTGATATGTGGCAAGACAACACTACTTTCTCCTCCAATGCACCGGTTTATTCCAGAAACAGTCAAAATCATGCACTCAATCTCCCGGTCAAATCATCCTTAATGACGGAATAAATGTAGAAATGAGTTAGCAACTGGTTTGACAGTGAGTTAACCATAATAAAACTTGTCTCTGATCATTTCACGAGCAGACTATAAGTCATGTCCAAATAGTTGCTGGTATGTAGACATTGGCAGAAAACCGAATCATAGGTAGCAAAGCCATACCGAACATCGTGAATATATGTATTCTAGTTGGAAATTTCGCACCGCATCAAACCTGGTTACGTTCACATTCTTTACGTTGTAACATTTTTTGTGGGGATTTAGAAAGAAGAACATGATCTTAGCTACGACAAATGAACCTTGATTCTGATCATTTGTGAAATAGATATTCCGTTGAAGTCAAACGTATCTCAGTGTGCTACGGTGACGTCCTATTGTTGCTTACTTCTACGTCGTTTGGTCACTGGTGAGAGTTGTCTCATTAGCAATCATGCCACATCTTATTTTTATATGGTTGAGAGTTGTCACATTGACAGTCATACCACATCTTCTTATTTTTATATGGTGGAGAGTTGTGTCATTGGCAATCATACCACATCATTTTTATTTCTATAAAGAGCGTGACGTTCTGAGAACATTCTAATGTGACAGGTAACTTGGAAAACGTCCTTAAAGGGACGGGTGTTATTCTGTTTTGGCACATTCCCGCATATAGCCAATGTACGCCCTTTTCTATCGGGCATTACCAATTGACGAAGGTTTAAGAAGTCATTTCTATTCTCCAACTATCCAAAGAATCTAGTTTTGTTCAAACTACAGTACCTTTAGAAGCAATAATCATTTATCATTCTGCTTGATAATATATTTACCAAAACAGTCGATCTTTTATTCTTTAATCGTTCTTCTTTTTTTTCGGGTTTTTTCATGTATATTTTAATCTCCTTTATTCACTGATCAGTCATCTAGGGGTGGGGTGGGGTGGGGTTGGGGTTGCGGGGGGGGGGTATCATGGGTTATATCTAAATAAACCTATTGTTGGATTCTAAATCTCCTTACCAAATATCATTAGTTTCAGAAGGGACAGAAAACTAGTTTTCTTATCATTCTTGTTACTGTTACTGTATGTCGTTATAAAAGAATATTTTGTTCATGACCTACATGTGTACGTTAAAAAAACCACGTGAGTTCCGAGAAAAAACATGACTCCTTACAAGATGAAAAACAAAAAACACGGAAGAACCTAGTCATTATATTACCATTATATAATTATTTTTTTTTTTGATATCGTTTAATGATCGATATTGAATCGTGATGTAGAAATAAACATTTACGATTAATCGATAGGGGGAAGAAATGTAAATGATCATAGACACATTAGTAAGGGTACTTTTTAGTGGATAATCTCCCGGTGTAAATTTTCTATTGATTGCACCTAATAAAAGCGGAACATTATCACGGGTAGTAACCTCGTCATATCGAGAAGCGTTTAGTACAGTGATTTTGTCATAGTTTGGTTAAGATGAACATGGTTGTGTTAAGTGTTTTTGATGACAAACAGTGTCAAAATATAAACATTCGAATAGTTTGTTAAAGGAACTAATGACAACAAATACAAGCTCGTAAGTATCTTTGTTTATAGCTAATATGTTAGTACATCAAAATTTGAATCATATAGTTATTAATTTGACACAGTATAATGCGTGCGTATGTCAAAATTTAAAAGTTGTGATTCGTTTGTAATGCATAAAGAAAAGTGGTTTGCTTACTGGCTACATCACATATTTTGTTATGATATAAAACTGCCGTCAATTTTCCCGAAAAACAGCCCCTAGTGCACACAATTTGAGATTACAGAATATTCGGTGTCATGGTTTGGTTCATTCGTGTCATGGTTTATTTCATGATGAACATGGTTCAGTTATGTGATTCTATTCGTGAATGAAGGAAGAGTAACGATCAAAATAAACAGACATTATATATATTGAAATACTCTTTTTTAAATCGTTTTATTTGGAATACAAAAGGACATATATACGCACATTCAATGTAGTATTTTATATATTAAGTACATGAGGTCTGATTGTCAATGATATAACTATCCACCCGAGACCAAAATGACGTAGATGTAAGCAACTATATGTCGTCGTATGGCCTTCAACAATGAACAACATCCATACTTTTTAGCAAGCTATAAAAGGCTCCGACAAAATTATATGTAAAACAAATTTAAAAGAGAAAACCAATGTATTATACAATATTACAAAAACTAATCATTTTTATTCGTTCGTAATAATAATTGATAAATATGGACATTAAATCGGCTTCATTCTAATTCGGATTTGTGATTTTTCATATATTTAAATTCTGAAATTGTGTGTATTTTTTTTTTTTTTTAATTTTACTAATAGTTTATAAAACAAATAAGTTTTAACTGTTGTCCATGACACGCGTTAACATTTTGTTTCGTGGATGGTTGAAGACTTATTGTGTCCTCTTGATATCGTTTGGTTAGTTTTGTAGTTGGGATACTATAGCATGGGCGTATAACACCAAATAATCTATGTGAAACAGAAGCAGCGCTTTCTGTTTTTGTAATTATTATCTCAAAAGATAGTTTAAAAGAGCAGTGACTATTTAAATTATAAAAGCAAAATAACAAAAATACGGGACTTCGAGGAAAATTCTAAACGGAAAGTCCCTAATCAAATGGCAAAATCAAAAACTGAAACACATCAAACGAATGGATAACAACTGTCATATTCCTGACTTGGTACAGACATTTTTTTTCTGTAGAAAATGGTGGATTAAACCTGGTTTTATAGCCAGCTTAACCTCTCACATGTATGACAGTCGCATAAAATTCCATTATATTGACGACGATGTGTGAACAAATCAAACAGACATAATAGGTAAAAATGTCAAAAAATAAGGGTACAGCAGGCAACATTGTGTTATAATCTTAGTCACTATAAAAACAAAACAAATGTTTCAACAAAGAAAAACAAAAGGGCATATAGACAAAACACATAAGCAAAAACGAAAGATAAGAATACAAAAAATTACCATAGCAAAATAACACAATGACGGGATGTATAAGTACCGAGGCACGTCAAATGGATTGAGCCAAAAATAGACTAAACAGTTAAAGTAATAATTTACAAAGACAAGAGTACCATAACAAGTCATTAAGGTGACAAACAACGTCAGTACTTAGAATCTATACTTAAAGACCATCATTTATCATTTGTGAAGTTGAAAAGAAATATTTACCCACAAGGTCTTCCGATGAATTTTTTTGGAAAAAGGACGAGACGTTCTTTGACATACCACTGGTTCGTCAACATTCTGCTCAGACACTGGTGACGGTTTTCAAAGTCTGAGTAGCATCTGCAAGCTCTTGAATATCTAATGAGTTGGGAAATATATATCCCATATGCAGGAGAAGTTGGTATATTGCTACTAAGGTTGGAGAAACTGATAATTTTAAAATTAAAATCGTCTCGTTTGTCATAGATTCTGGTACTAAGATGACCGCTCATGTCAAATTCGAGGTATAAGTCTAAAAATGAGGCAGAGGAAGCCGTGTCTGTTGTTCCTTTAATTTCTAGTTCTGGGGGATATATTAATGGAGTTCAATCAGAAAAGTCTGAATTGTTAATGGAAAGAATAATATATATGAATGTGAAATTAAATGATCTGGCTTCTTTGATCTTCTTGTTTTTGACAAATGTCTGAAGGAACTCCGACTAATATGAAGATAAGAAGAGGTCACTGCCGCACAGTTCGCTCCCATAGAAATACCGACAATTTGGTCACAAAGTCTACCTCCAAATTCAACAAA